TCGAACTAAAAGCCAATGTAAAAAACAAAAAAAAACTCTTATGCTAATCTAATTTACAACATTCTGTCTCATAGGAATATATATATATATATAAAAGACAATGAAGGAGAGTCATATGGCCCGACAACGGCCAGGAATGGAATTGCCCAGGGTTCACCTCTAACTAGTATTCAACATCTATATTTAATCCATTTTTAAAATAATTCCAAAAAATAATATATTACTATACGTATATGTATTATGCAGATGACCTAACGCTGTTTACAAAAGGTGTTTGTATCACGGACATGAATCAAAGAACAAATTCAGCTCTAGACAATATAAACGTTTGGCTCAACCAACATAACCTCCTTATATCTGTTGAAAAAACGGAATACATGTGGTTTAGAAAACATAAATCGAAAATCACCCCCCCCCCCAAATAAAAATAGGAATGCACGAAATTCACAGAAAAAACAAGATCAAATACTTGGGAATACTTAATTGGAGAGAACAGGTTGATAAAATGATCAAAAGCCAACAGGGGCATCAATGCATTAAGAGCTGTCTCAAGAGTTTGGTGGGGATCAGACCCAAAAATTTTACGTATTTTATACAATGGCATAGTTAGATCGCATCCAGATTATGGGAGCCTTATTTTAAACCCGTTACAAAAAAACTTAATCAATAAATTAAACTCTACACAATTTAAAGCTTTCAGAGCAATAACTGGCCTAATGAAGTCTACCTCCACAAACGTATTGTTGGCAAAATCCTGAAATTCAAGACTCACCCAATCCTGTCAATTATCACATCCCTCAACCAAGAATGCACTCGATCAGCGGCATACTGGCATAACAAAGAAACACCCCAATGTCATCAAATCACTGACCCTGTTGGAAAGGTATGTTAACAAAGTTAGAAGAGGTAGTCTGCTGCCCTGCTTCGAAGTGGAATATAATTACCAATTCAAAGAAATTAAACTTATTTATCTTAATCTTAAAAAACATGATCCTTCCAATAATACCATTTTGAACTCGGAAATCGATAGATTCAAAGATTTTAATATCATTTACACTGATGCTTCCAGAAAGGGCCATAGAACTGGTCTGGGAGTATACAGTCAGAGTGGCCAAATCCACTTCGCAGCAAGGTGAGCGGACGACCTACAAATATGCTCGGCGGAAATACTAGCAATATGCAAAGGTGTTGAAATTGCAGTTTCCAAAGTCATGCACAAAAATATAATTTTATTCGACTCTTTTAGTGCCTTAAATAAAATAACTAACATTAGTTATAATGCAAAGGATGACTATATTACCCTAGCAACAAGAAAACTGATAGCAACGGCCAACGAAAACAACTTTGATTTCAAACTGGGTTGGGTCCCCGGACATGAGAATATTCTACCTGAAACAAATGACATTCTACCAGAAATCAAAAAACACATTAAACAAGACTGGAACAAGAAAGGAAAAAAATATTCGAAACAAAGGGTTCTACACAAACAAAATTAAAGGCAAAAGATATCTCACTACCATCATTCGACTACACGGCCTATCTAACGCCCATCTGTTTAAGATCGGAATTAGAGACGACCCCTATTGTGAATGCGGCCAGATTGGAAACATCACACACACCCTACTCTAGTGCCCCATAACCAAAAAAAATTATTATTACATTGCAGATCCTCCTAAAAAACAATCTCTTTCCTGGGCCCCATCCGAGGAAAGTAATTCAAATCTAAATTTTTCATTTTAGTCTTGCGATGCAAATGAAATTAAACGACCTAATTTAAATTAGTTTAAAAAGTGTTTTATCAGACTTCCTTTGAAACTGGTAGTAATAACAGTCCCAAGTAAACTCATGCATATTAAAAAATTCAGAACTGATTATATTTAGTTTGTGAACCGTTTATTTTTGGCATGATCAAACGAACCTAATACCAGCATTCTAATACTATTTTAGTCTTGTTTTATTTAAATTTTACAAAATATGTTTTGTAAGTATTTATTTTTAATAAATTAGCAATTACCCCTAACGCAATAAATGATTTGTTTAAATCTTCTATAAATTTTGTTATACTTCTATATACACTCTGGGCTGGTTCAAAAAAATCAACTATTTTTTTTCCTGAAATTTCGCACTGAAATATGTTCACGGTACCAAAAAAAGACACCTGTAAAAACCGGAGCTCCTAATTTTAATATTTAGAGGAGGCGCATCGAGATTTTCCATTTCCCATTTAAATAACATGGGAAATTTTGTTTTGTTTCTTTATAATTTTCTAGCTCACAAATTAATTAACAGATTTTTAAGCGCGATATATATTCTTGTGGGAAATTGAACGCTCTACAAAAAATGTCTCCTATCATTTTTCGATAAAACGAGTTCAAAAGTTATTCAAAGTCGAAGTTAAATTTCATAATTGCATTTTTTACTTCAATTTTAGGCAAATTCCTAGTTATTTTCAAATATAAAAAAAATTATTCAAAAAATCAAAATTATTATTATTATCAAATATAAAAAAAATCATTCAAAAAATCAAAATTACTTTGTTCAATAAGCACTGAAACACCTACTATTTTAAGAATTGATTAAATTTTTTTTGATCGGTTAAAATCCTTTTTAATGAATTCCCACCAGAAATAGTAGGTGTTTTAGTGGAGTTAATTTAAAAGGCCTATTGAACATGGTAATTTTGATTTTTTGAATGAATTTTTTTATATTTGATAATAACTAACTAATCAATTTGCCTGAAATTGAAGTAAAAAATGCAATTATGACATAAATTTAAATTCGACTTTGAATATCTTTTGACCTCGTTGGTTTATCGAAAAATGATAGGAGACATTTTTTGTAGAGCGTTCAATTTCCCACAAGAATATATATCGCGCATAAAAATCTGCAAATTAGTTTGTGAGCTAGAAACAAAACAAAATTTCCCATGTTATTTAAATGGGAAATAGAAATTTTCGATGCGCGACCTCTAAATATAAAAATTAAGAGCTCCGGTTTTCACAGGGGTCTTTTTTGGGTACCGTGAAAAAATTTCAGTGCAAAATTTTAGAAGAAAAAAAATAGTTGATTTTTTTGAACCAGCAAAATAATCGATCTACACAAATTTTTAATGAATTTCCATCGCAAATAACTTTTTTATTTGATTTCGGATTTAAACGATTATAAAAGAATATTGTAGATAAATTAATGGATAATCGCTCACATGTAAATTAATGTGTTACTTTTGAGGTGTCTTCTTACTTTTAAAAATGGATATGTCTCTGACTGATGTTGCCAGAGCCATTGCTTTAATCCAGGAAATCGGTTTAATCAGCATGGTGAGTAGTAGAAGCAGTCAATGTGGTAGGAACAGGTGTACAAATAAACAAGATGATCGTTTTATTCGACTTAATATTTAACATGACCGAAGAGTAACTTCTGTGGAGGTAAAAAATAGAATGGAGGATGTACGACAGGTCCAAGTAAGAGAACAATAAGAAAAAGGTTATCTGACATTGGATTACACGAACCAAGTTGCTAAAAAACCACAGGGTTGAACGCCTTAGATTTGCTAGGAAACATCACCTCTTCTTACCACATTGACTCCTTCTACTGTACTTGCCATGCTGATTAAACCGATTTACAGCTCTTTGTACTTTACTTTTTGTGACGTTTAAAACACTTGCCACATAATACTGTGACCGTCCATTCTCGATTAAAGCAATGGCTCTGGCAACATCAGTCGGAGAACATTTTTAAAAGTAAGAAGACACCTCAAAAGTAACACATTATTAATGATTAATTTACAAAAAACAATTTGATAGCTTTTGAAAGCCATATATGACATGTCCAAGTAAAAGATGATTCAACAAAACTGTCACTGTCATCCTCCATAGGCTATGGCAACTATAGCAACTTTAGTTCTTCATACAGAAAAAATATTGGAAATTGCAATGTATTCCACAAAAATAAATATATCGAGGTAAACCAAAAACAAAACTGTTAAGAATAGATGTGACTTGATAATTAAAACTTAATTTGGAACAATATTCGGTTTTGCCACTCTACAGAGTGTCTTAAACTTATGGTAAAAACATATTTTTGTTTAAATCTGTATATTATAAACGTACGTTTCTTTTTTAGTAATTTTTTAAAATGTTTGTGATTCTCCATTAATTTATCTACAATATTCTTTAATATTCGTTTAAATCCGACATCAAATATAAAAGTTATTTGCGATTGAAATTCAACGAAAATTTGTGTGGATGGATTATTTTGCCTGTTAGTGTATTTGGCAACCCTAGGTAAACTTTTTAAAACATACTTACTTTTGATTAATTTGGTACATACAAATACCAAGTTTGAGTACCTAAAATTAATTTAAACAAATGTTAATGTATACCTAGGTAGCAATAAAAATTTATTAAAATTGGATGGATAATGCTAATGCATTACTAAGATGAAACCGACATATTTTTAACCCTAATCTCAATTGAATATGTTAAATACAGTGATTTCTCCATTTTTTACAAAGAAATATATTTTTGCATAAACAAGTAATATTTTTCTAGGTACCTATATCAACACATGCAAAAATCACATTAATAAATAATCTGTAATTTGCTGTCCCTTAATTTCAATGTTTAAAATTATTTTATTATATTTTGTAAAAATAACTAACTAAATAAATAAAAATCTATTTACCCCTAAACACTAAACAAGCATTTTACAACAAAAATAATTTAAACCACATATTTTTGGTTATGTTTTGCCAAGAAACATTTTTAGTGTTGCCAAGTTTAGCTTTCTTTAGATTTTTGAAAAAAAAAAGTTTGGTAATTGTTAATTATGTAACACAATATTGCAATTAGACCAAAGTTTTTAAAATTAAAAAAACAATATAATTTAAAAAACACCAATAGAAATGTAATAAATATACAAGGAATTTTATTTTTGTATTGAAAATGTACGTGCCGGCAACGTTTTGATTTATGTATAGCGCATGAACTTTTTTGACACTTGCGCATTTATAGACTTTATAATCTGTGTTCTTATGTGCGCAGTATTTTGTGTCGCCGTTGTTTATCAACTAATTTATTGATTATAATTTTAGAAGAAAAGTAATTTTTGTCGAGATGACAATTATAACAAAACCTGTTTCAGAAAAAAAGGGCGACAAGCTTGTCGTACCTTTGGTGAGATATGCTGTCTCTCCATCACAAACTGTAAGTTTAATATTAAAATTAAGACAATTACAATTACCATAATACCATTTTGTAATGACATTACGGCAATAAATGCTGACATGTAATATTTTATGGTTTCTATATCAATAACTAGGTATTTGTAATTTGTGCATTGTATTTTTGGAACAAATTTACATTAAATCACAATCCACATGGATTGTGCATTAAATGTGATGTTATTAATATATGGGCCTATTGTAGGCATTATGACTAGATATTTAATATTTTGGTATAAATTGATAGTCATACTTTTTGTTATCAAAATGTTTCAATTAGGTATAGGTATGACTAATATGTTATACAGATAGGGTTGCCAGATGATCTGCAAATGCTATGATCTTTAAAATAAAAACTCCTAAACTGCTCTGTATAATTGTTACCTATACCTACACCCTTAATAACACTGTGATAGTTTTAGAAACTTTTTAACATTGAGAACTCCGGCCTAGCTAATTTTGGGCTGCTGATTACAAAAATGTTACTTGTTTTGCTCAAATAGATAATACCTATTTAACTTGGCATTATGGCATACCTACTAAAACTAAAATTATAATGTATTTTATGTAAAAAACAACGATTAATTCACATTTTATTGTCGTTTATTTAAATTATCGAATTGAAAAGGCAACAAAGCAAAGAAGTTTCGGTATGAAAATTATATTTAACAATTCCTCTCTTTTCAATTTAATCCTATTAAAAACTGTCAAAAATACGGTTTGCTGACGGATAAAAAGAAAGGAACAGAAATGCAAGTGACCAAAATTGGCGGCTGGTGGATTTTGGGCACACCCACAATCCACACAACAAGTTATCACAATCATTTTACTCTTTTTTTGTAAAAAATAAACCTTATTCTATCAGGGCTGTCAAATGTCAATTTGAAGGTTAATTTCAGGTCAATTTATTATAAATATATATAAATATATATTATAAATAAACGTTTAAAACGATTATTAATCTGTACAAACCCAAAGCACAAGAATTGTAAACAACAAAAATGGCCGTTATTGTATGATGTGCAGTGTTTCAGTGATTTTTAGTATTTTTACTACGAGATCGAACAGACCTTGTTGTGTGGATTGTGGGCACACCCATATCTTAGTTATTAGACAAAGGGACCCACATCAAATTTATATGAGTTTATAATGACATTATATAATAATATAACAATATAATAATAATAATATAATAATAATTTATTGAACACATTTTTACAAATAATTTCTCATGTACATAATTTATTTATTCCTATTCGCACCTGATTTCATATGAAATCGTGTCGTGCTTAGATTTTATTAACAAAAACAATATTCGAGGTGTGTGTTTTAACAAAAAAAATTAACAAAATAAAAAATTAAATATAATCTGTAAATTGATAAACGAATAATAATTATACCATATACAAGTAAACAAATATTTTGAATGAATGAAATTTTACAGAATCTATCTTATAAATAAATTAAATTTTGATTGTATAAATAATTTAAGTTTCTTACAAAATAAATTAAAGTCATTAATTCTCTTTAGTTCGTTGGGCAAAACATTCTACACTTTCGGACCTGTCACACAAATACAGTTTTTAAAGAGTGTCGATGGAATCTTGGGAATTAGATTAGTTTCTTGTCGAGTATTGTACTGATGTTTGGCATTGGCATTAAATGTATACAACTGATTAAAATTAAAGACATTGCTTTCATGGTATATTTCAATTGTCGAAGTTGTACGTTTTTTAAATAAGATTGTTTTTAGAATCCATTTTTTTGTCACGATAATATTTTTTAAATGATTTTCATATGTCCCCCCCCCCATATAATAATTCCATATGTTATTAATGATTCCGCTAGAGATTTATATGCTATAATAACTTATTATTAATAAGTGATTTTTTTGACATAATCTCTCTTAATTTGTAAAATGAGTAAACAATTTTTTTTAATTTATTTGCTATATACTGTGCGTGTTCTTTCCATTTTAAATTATTATTTATGATTAGACCCAAGTACTTTATGGACTCAGCCTTTTTAACTAATCCTTGGCACTGACAGCCTGGCTCAAGATCACAAACTGCATGTAACTTAATTTCCTGAAACTGTGGTTGATTTGCCATGCTGTTTGTGATACACATAAATTTGGTTTTAGAAAAGTTAAGACTTAATAAATTACTATCAAGCCAACATTTTACCTTATAGAGGTTATGCTCACTGTTGGTTTTTGCTTCTGTCCAAGTTTTTCCATTAATAAGTAAAACCGTATCATCTGCGTAGGATAGTATATCACCGTTTATTGATAGCTTAAGCATTTCATTTATGTATATCACAAACAGAAAAGGGGTCATTTTTTATGGAGTTCGCCATATTTTCTCCAATCTTGGAGAAGTAATTAATAAAGGTATTGGCAACATCGACTGGCTTGCTTGAAATAAAATTGTTATTGATGCGTAGTGTGATGTCATTGGTTTTTGTATTGTTTATGTTTTTTATTATTCCCCAAATTTCTTTTGATTTATTCTGCGATGTATTAATCTTGTCCGCGTAATATTTTTGTTTAGTTTGTTTTAAGCATTTTGTAGGAAAATTTCTATAACTTTTATACCGATTTAATAATTCAATATTATGTTTATCCTTCAAAAACTTCTGCTTTAAGTTATCCCTTGTTTTAATTGATTTAATAAGTCCCTCTGTAATCCATGGTTTAATTTTGTTATAAGATTTAATATTTTTATAGGTTGTACAATTATTTATAAAATAGTTTAGTTTGTTAATAAATATTCTATATGCTTCATTAGGATTATCTTGTAAATAGAGGTCATGCCAAGATTCATTTTGTAAAATATTATTAAGTTTATTATAGTCTATTATTTTTAATCTCTTTAATTCATATTTAGGTATTTTTAATTTGTGATTATTTGATATGTTTATTATAATATTATAGTGATCTGTAATGTGAGATCTGTGAACTATGGGAATTATTTTGTTTTTATTTTTTAAGAGTTCCGATATTTTAATAAAAGCGTGATCAATACAAGATTTTGATTGTTGTGTTACTCTAGTACTTCGATTTATATATGAAAGATATCCATGAGAGCTCATTATATTTATGTAAGAATTTGATACTATATTTAATGATTTAATATCAATATTAAGATCACCAATAAACAAATTAAAATCATTTGCACTATTTAACCCTAAAAAGTAGTCAAGTTCATTCATAAAAACCTCAGTATTGGTGGAGGGTGGTCTGTATGTTGCTATTATGTTGTAACTTAAATTATTTAATGAAAAGGAAATTTTTGATAAAGTTATTTTAGATTCAATTAATTTAATATGGTTGACTTTTGCTTCTATTTTTTCACTAATATAAATAACCAGACCATCGTTTTGATTTGTTGTTGATTCATTATAGTATAATAGGTATTTGTTTATGTTATAGTGTAGGAGATCCTCAAGTTTCCAAGTTTCACTTAAAATAATAATATCGTAATCTAATGATTCTAGGTATATTAAAAGTTCATCAAAATTTTTTCTTAAGCTACGTATATTAAAATGTACAATATTCAAACCAGATTTTAACATTGTATTTATATCTTTGTTTAGTTCATCGTACGTGTTTATTTTGTGTGTATTTATATGGTTATAATTATCTAATTCGTTTAAAAAATTGTTCATGTAAATTTATGTTATTAAGCCAATAAAAATATCCTATATATTTACAAATATCTTCCTAAAGAAAACAACAGATCGTATTTTCACTCCCATTATATATAATGTATACATGTGTTAATAAAAATAAATGAAATGTGGAATATTTACCTTAGCAACAAATAAACAAATAAATTTATAATAATTATCGTTCAGGTGTTTAAATTATTGATTAATAAAATCTAACGATTTTAATTCAGTTTTTTTGTTTTCAAGCATTGTAAAAATTTTCCCATTTAGGCTCCATACATTTTTAAATCCAAACTTCTCGGATGCTGCAGTTAAAATTTCCATTTTCTTTTTTGTTAGATCTTCTTTGATGTGACAATTGGTACCTTTTAGTTTTTTTCTATTTTTTATTAATTCAATTTTGTCTTCGTAATTTTGTAGTTTGACAAAAACAGCTCTAGGTTTTTTAACGTTAATTTTGCCTATTCTATAACATTCGACAATGTTTCTTGTCCCAATTTCTATTGAACCAAGGACATGTTCTGCGCAAGTAGAATTTAAATTGATGTTTTCCAGCCCCCTGCCCCCCAAATTAAGATAATTCAAAGTAAAGTGGTACAATACCTATTTAATTCACTGAATTTTATCGGCAAATTTCAAATTTTATTAAAAAAATTCAAGTATTACCTTAGATCTGTGAGTACCTATTACAGATTTTTTACAAAAAACTTCAAAAATATACCTGTAGGTACATTCAAAATAGATTTAAGGCAAAATAATTTAATAAGTAATCAAATATATTAATGAAAAAACTTACATTTTAAGATAATTGAACAGAGCATTTTTTTACGCAATTCGAATCCTAGACGTCCTGGGGCAAAATGAGTGGCATTTTTGAAATCAGCAGCCCTAATTAGGTAATATAGGTGGGTGTACTCAATGTTAGTAGTTCGAAATCCAAATATATAATTGCCATTGTTCAGTGAATTATAATGTACCTACACTCGATTACAAAAGGTAAACTTTTTTAAAGAATTTTTAAATTTCTAGAATTTGGATGAAGTTGAGACTGGAAGCACATTGAGCCTTCAACGCAGGGCTCACAGGGTTTCCAATTTAACCACTTGCTGTCTTTTGCTAACAGCCTTAAGTGTTGTTGGACTTGGAATAATTGGGGGCTCATTTTTATATGACCAGTACATTAAAGTACAAAGGCCTTCAAGATTTACTGGATATGCTCAAATACCATATAATAAGGATGAGTAAGTAAATTGTAAACTGGCTTATGCCTTATTTAAAACCTCGTAATTAGTCGTTTAAATAAAAGTAAAAGTTTGAATATACACAATGTTGTTTAGAACTAAAAAATTAGTGGTAGTACTTTTCAATTAGTGGAAAAAGTTAAAAAACTCCAAACTTTTGTCATTAATTATAATTGGAAAGCGCCTTTACGCATGTGCGCGGACATTTTATGTGAAATGTAAAAAAGACGGTAAAGGTAAAGCCCAAAGAACACCAAAAAAGCAAAAGTTCCTGGTTTAAAGTTGGCAACACAATAATCGCCCTTCTTTGTTTAGTTTGGCCTTTCCCATCCAGGGTTTAGCCAGCTTAGATGTGTATGGAATTAACTGGTGAGAGGTGTGTCTGGGCTGTCCTATATCCCCCCTTCCTGTTCGAGTCTAAAATCTTGAATTTTGGCTCTCTAATTAAAATTTCTTGGTCCTATGTCCAGGGACCCGGATTCAAATAAAATAACGGTTCCTGTCCGGTTCCGGTTCTGAAAGAAACGACAATTTTTGGTTGGGTTCAGTTACGGTTCCAAAAAAAATATTGCTGTCCGGTTCGGACCAATCTTTTCGGTCTAAACGTTTTTTTTCGGTTCCAATTTTTTTACCATGTATAAATAAGTAGCAGGGACCCGGACCCAAATGAAATAACGGTTCCTGTCGGGTTCCGGTTCCGAGAGAAACGACAAATTTGGATTCGGGTTCAGTTACGGTTCCAAAAAAAATATTTCTGTCCGGTTCGGACCAATCTTTTCGGTCCATACGGTTTTTTTCGGTTACATTTTTTATACCATGTCTATTCTTATTTTCAAATCAGGTTCTTCAATTTTAGGCTCTTCATTTTCTTTTTCTTTACTTTTTTTCTCGATCGGCTTGCTAACTTTATCTTTTTCTTCTGATCTTGCGATTGAAAACTGAAAAATTTATATTTAAAATAAGTTATCCAAAAAACTGAACTTTCAGCCTTTGTTTTTATTTTTCTCCAAAAATTCTGTTGGTTCTCACAAATAATTGTTGCACTAATTTTTTTCTTTTGTTTGATCTTGTTGGGGAAAGTAAAAATTTGTGTCCAGAAAACAGCCTTTTAACGCTTACTTACTTGTGTTGCAGGTGTCATAAGTATACATAATACTAGGCAACACTGTAATTAATAAATCCCCATCACCACCCATGCTAGTCAAGATACCTACATACACCTACATGCTAGTCATTTTAATAAATCAGTCTTCAACCTACTCTGGTATTATTTACTTCATGGCGTAGTCGGTAGGATATGTTGTAGTTGGGGTTTATTAGTAACAGTGTTGCCTAGTATTATATAATATAAACTGCTTGTCATAAAAAACGACGCACCTAGTTTTTTAGAAAGTATTTAAAAGCTCGTTATTGAAAAATTACTGAATTAATTTTGAAAATCTTTGGAAATTCTGAATAGCTGATTCTTTGACTCTTTTGTCTTTTTGGTAATACGATATTTTGCACATATCATTATACTACAGGGTGTTAAACGAAGAGATGCATTTTTTACAAAATTTCAAGTTATTCCCATTCATAGGGCAGTTGACTTAGATAGTCGTAATACCCCTCCCTAATAACAGTTAGATAATCCCTCGGTACGTTTTCGAAATTTTGTGGATATCTTGGCTAACTACGATTAATTGGCAATTTTTCGAAAATTGTTGTTATTCCCCAGTTTAGTCCAAAAAATTAGCAATAGATCTTTTTACTGACGTATATTTTGGGAATACGATATTGTGCACATAGCATGATCCTACAGGGTGTTAAAAAAATATGTTTTTTTTTCCAAAATTTCAAATCTCCATGCACAGGGCAGTAGAGCTCCGAGGGATTACCTAACTGTTATTAGGGAGGGTATTACAACTATCAAGCTCAACTGCCCTGTGAATGGGTATTTGAAATTTTGGTAGCTATGTGCACAATATCGTTTTCCTAAAATTAGACTTAAAAGTCAAAAAATCAACTATTGCTCATTTTTTGGACTAAAATGGAGAATAACGACAAATTTTGAAAAATTGCCATATATATATATATAATCGTAGTTAGCCAATATATCCACAAAATCTCGAAAACGTCCCGAGGGATTACCTAACTGATATTAGGGAGGGGTATTACAACTATCAAGCTCAACTGCCCTGTGAGTGGGTATTTGAAATTTTGGAAAAAAACCACTCTTTTTTTTTAACACCCTGTAGTATAATGTCATGTGCACAATATCGTATTCCCAAAATTAGACGTGTCAAAGAATCCACTATTGCTCATTTTTTGGACTATACTGGGGAATAACGACAATTTTCGAATTGTTTATGCGCCGATTGTTTATGTACTTTACACCCCCACACCTATTTTTTTGCATTATGACGACCCTCCCACCGTTTTTCGGATAAGTGTAAATTTAATATTTATAGGTACCTACCCACTTAAAACCAAAAGTTTGTATTAGTTAATAATTTTTAAGTATTCAACACAAAGGTCTAAAATTATATGTGTTGGTCATTGTTGACTGTACTCAAATGTTACTCAGATTATCTACAAAATTGTAATCAAGAGCCTTAGAATAAAAGAGGTATTAGTGCAGCTGCTCTGTTAGCAAAAATTACCATATCTACAATATTAAATAATAAAACGATCATTTTTATTGTGAAAACACTTAAGTACAAAACTATATTTTGTCCTATTACCATATTTTTTAGTTTATACAAAAATGTTTGCATGTCTCACATATTGGATGCAAACACATCACTATTTATTATTACTCATTGTTTCTAGAGGAAATTGTGGTTAGTACTTTTATAACAAAAATTATGATAATATCTCTAACAACATTGCTAACTTGGCTCATTAAAAGAAATAAAATTACTATAACTTTATAACTACTATTAAAATTAATAGTTTGAAAAAACTATAAAACGCATTAAAAGGTATAAAATAGGTGTAAGATAATAGGGGGACGCCTTTCTACAGAAAGGGATCAACCCACACCATGTTGAAACTTAGAAAACTGTTATTTAAGGTTTTATTAATTTTATTTATTTTAAAATTATCTGTTAATTTTATGCCGATTTTGGACTTATGGAGGTTTAAGGGATATAATTTAATAATTTCATCAGGTGGAAATTTTTTATATTATGTGTAAAGGTAATGAAAAAAAAATAGGCCTTAATTGGTTGGTTTCTTTCTGCAAATTAAGGAAACTACTATCTGATTACAGCCAAAATGTACATTCGATGCCACTATTATTTTCTGATGTATTTTGTCCTGCCAAACTCGAAAATTACAATACAATTTTTTTCATGGCAGGGTTTTACAAATAAATAATTTTCTTTGTTTTTTGAAGGCAGCTTTACTATTTGTATCATACCTCGAGTTTAAACTGGCCAATTGTATTGCAAAACATGTCAAATTAAACCTAGTTGACAAAATTTAATGTAAAAATCATTTTTTTTGACAAAACTTAAATATAGTATTTACTATTTTACCATTTACCAATTTACCATTTTTAAACTATCTACAAGAAGTTTGCACTTTTATGATGAAAATAAGTTATTAAAAAAAATCTATGGATAACTGTCTAAGTTATGACAGTTTAAGTACAGGTAGCAAAATTCAACTTTTTTTTCGTAGCGTATATTGTAGTTTAATATAATTAAATGAATTTAATACTTTTTAAGGAAAGAGTTGTTTGTTGTTTAAAGTTTGAAGTTTTTTTGGTTTCAAATATTAAATTTTATGTTGTGATATCGCTGTTGTATGCCTCTTTAGCCATTTCATGAACAGGTGTAAATATGTATCTGAAGATTCATTTCTTACATTCCCACTTCAATTTTTTCCTGAAAATCTTGGTGACCTGAGTGATGAGCATAGTGAAAGGTTTCATCAAGAAATAAAATCCATGGAGAGGCGCTATCAGGGGTTTTGGAATGAAGAATGATGAGGTACAGAATACAGATACAGAAACAGAAGGCAATCGAAAAACCTATTTTTTAATTTACAATATGTTACAATGATCTACAGTGTTCCATTTAAAAGGAAACACCCTAAATTTCCAGGAAACTGAAATTTTTTTGAAAAAACGCCGAGACACGTTAAGTTTTATATCAAGGGGGACAACTTTCCATGGCAAAATTTGGTTTCCAACCCTTACCCAGCTTTTCCCTTAAGAATTTGTACATATCTCAAAAATAAACAGACCGATTTAAAAAATAAAACACCGTTGTATAGCAATTTCCAAGACCTTTAAAATAATGTATTACTCGATACCCCTTCTCTATTCAAATTCTTAAGGGGCAGGGAGTAAGGGTGGCAAACCAAATTTTGCCATGAAAAGTTGTCCTCCGAGAAATTTAGGGTGTTTAGTTTTAAATGGAATACACTGTATTTTAATATTAAAATGTAAATCGAAATTTATTGAATTGTAAAAAGGTTCTATACGCTAAAGAATTATCGGGTTTTCGCGCGCGCCATCTGGTGGACTTCGAATGCATTGCGTGAGTTTAAGGATTGTCAACAATAAATTTATCAACGATTATACATCATTTTTAAATAAATAGGTAGTTTTTTTACAAAAGAGAGGAAGGCAGAAGTCTTACTCGACAAATTTTGTTCAATTGCACAACTAAATCGCGCACGTTATTTGTGTTTTACGTTGCAAGGAAAAAATTAAAAAACTTTTTTAGTACTCGATTTTGATTGATTATTCCTTATATCATTGATTAAGAAACTCAACGCTTAAATGCTTATATAGTTACGTTAGTTTGTGTATTTTATCAAAGGGATCATGGTGAATTATTGTGTTTTTAATTGTAAATAAAATTCAAGAACTAAATCGTTGCATTTTCATCTTTTGCCAAAGGATCCAATTCAGTAAGTACATTTGTTGGTGCAGAATTAACTAATGATAACTTTACCTAATATAATTTATATTTAAGTTTGGACAGTTTTAAGAAATTAGTAAAAAA